TTTCCCAATCTTTCTTTCTCTCAGCACTCCCACTCCCCCAAAATGAATATCAAAGCTTTTGAAAAAAATCAATTTTATTTTTTATCTTTCACAAATTTTGAAACTTTATTTTTTGCTTTTATTGTTTCATATTCATTTTTTGGGACCTATTATGCACCACCTGACCAAGTCTCATGATTTAAAATTTGTGTTTTGGAGCTCTGGAATCCAAAATAAGCAGCCACTTTTCACTGTCTAGGCACTGTAGATGAACAAAGCCTTATTTTCACTTCCAGTTCAAATTCTGATCTGTGAATCATTCAATAATTTTTGATGTAATTTATCATTATAATATAAAACATTCAACCCTCAAAAAACTTAGCACAGGGTACTTCAAATTGTGAATTCATAGATAATGAATTACAGCTCCAACATTCATAAATTGTTTCATTTGGAACACAATAGAAGAAGTACCATTCATAAATTCCAACTAACTTATGCAGCTCATTGAAATGTCAAAAATTGACCTGTGCAAATTTTAGCTTCTAATCAAGTCACCATTATAAACTGTTCAACCCAATAACAAGAATTATGTAACTAAATATCTGGATCTTAATCAAATTCAACCACTGTGTATTTTGAGCGTAACACTGTGAATTCAGAATGGAGAATGCCTGTGGCTCACTAAATCTTTATCAATATTTATCTAATTCATCTAAAAAATCAAGCATGTCTAAAATTATTAATTTTCAGATCCACTAAGTTATATTTTGTGTTCAATTCTCCCTTTAGTCTAGAACTACCTGTAGGTTTCATAGGGAAGTGATGCTAGAACTCTTCCTTAACTCAAGAGCTGTTTTGTTCTGAAATAAGAGTGGAGGTCTAGCCTCCCTTCCCTCTAAATTCAACCTGTTCAAGAGGGGAGGGATTGTCCTGTCTGGGGGTTGATAACCACACGCCCTCCCCCCTTGCACACACACGCCCACACGCCAATTTCTCTCGGCGTGTGGGCGCACACGCCTTGCGGATCCTGGCGTGTCCCTGCACACGCCAGGGATCCAAAGGGTCCAAACCTAGTTGGCTGGCGTGTGCAGGAACACGCCAGCGGAAGGTCTTGCCGGCCATGACCAGGAGAGAATCCTCCTGGCCGGCGAGGCTGTACAACCTCGTCGACCAGGAGGATTCCCTCCTGGCCGGCAAGGTTGTACAACATCGTCGACCAGATTCCCTCCTGGCCGGCAAGGTTGTACCACCTTGTCGACCAGGAGGATTCCCTCCTGTTCGACGAGGGAGTGCTAAATTGAGATATTTTTATCATGTTAGAATGCGGCGATTTTGTTTATAGAGCGACTTGAACACTCGGTCTTATTGAACATCACTCAGGAAGAATTTGAATACAATGTAGAACAAGTGATTGTCAGCTTACCAAGATCAACAGTCATCAAAAACATCAAAGCAAGTTCGGGAGGATTTTCAGCATTCACACAAGGAGCCAGTAGCAGCAACAGCAAAATAGGTGGAGTAGGAGGAGAGGCAGGAGGGACGGGAGGAGGCGGAGAAAGAGCAGACCCAAGTCCCACGACAGCCACGTCCAACAGAACCACCACATCGACATCGCTACCAGATCTGACGCGCTCATGGTTGTTCACGACGGTGCCTCATTGGCCGAGAAGGCGGTCAGTAAACCGCAGAATGCGATTGCCCGAATCGTCGATGATCTGGCCTCCGAATCCGACGACCTTCATCTGACGGAGAGACAGGGACTTCGACGGGCGAGCTCTTTGGTCGAGCAGCCGATGGTCGATCCAAATCGAAGGGGCAGTCGAAGAGGCGGAAGGCCGTGGTCTGCGGATTCGCCTTGGTCTCGTCATTCCGACCTTGGCGCGCTCGACCCTTCCTCCTCTTCCTCTCCTACCAATACCACTAGAAAACTGTCTTCCTCTTCTGATCTCATGCCAACTGGTCATGAGAAAGCCCATCTCTCTTCGACTGATGATCGAAGATTAGACCAAGATCTCAGAAGAATCGAGGCCCTCAAACACGCCGAACATGCTGCTAAATTAGGTGGTACAGCCTTGCCGGCATCGACAAAATGTCCGAGCTCGAAACATCATCATCTGATGATGCTTCTGCTTCATCTAATTCCCATCGCTTAGCCATGATTAATCTGTTGAACAAAGCCAAAAAAAAATGTGATGTGAAAATCAAACAGTAAGGTGAATTTCTTGGAATTCAAATTGACTAGGACTCACTGTGGGGCTCGTTTGAGATGTTCGCGCATTTCCTCAGTCAAGACTCCAAGACCGATACTGGTAACTAAGACAACGAGAAAACGATCAGCATGAAAACAAGGAGCCAAGAGAATAGAAAGGAGAGAACCAACAATAGTTGTTGAGAACCTAGTGTTCCTGGGATTATCAATAGGGAATAAGCCTCCATACCAGACTTGCATTGAGGGATCCTTGAAGCGTTCAGCTAAGCTTTTGAGACCCAAGACCTCGCTGATATCCTTAAACATAATCTTAACGAAAATACGAGAACTACTCGTCGTATCATCTTCGTTCATTCTGATCACCTCAAACATCGACCATGGGATAGCATCTTGAGCTAACAGATGGCCGAAGAATCTTGCGATATTCCGCTTCGATTGGTCTCAAAACGATGGATCGTATCGTAATAGTTTTGGAAACATTGGTTGAAGGTCATCGCCCAGGTTTGATTGAGTTTGCAAAACCTTTCTCCTAACAAACCGTAGAATTTCACATACGATCGTTCTTGTGAACAACACTCAACAACCATATTGGCTAGTTCTAGTTCAAGTCCTTCTTTGATGTTCCGCTTGAGTAACTTATGCGCAGCTTCTTTGAAATCTAGCGACGAGGTTGTACAGCCTCGCCAGCCAGGAGGATTCCCTCCTGGTCATGGCCGGCGAGGTCCGCTGGCGTGTTCCTGAACACGCCAGCCAACTAGGTTTGGACCCTTTGGATCCCTGGCGTGTGCAGGGACACGCCAGGATCCGCAAGGCGTGTGCGCCCACACGCCAAAAAAATTGGCGTGTGGGCGTGCGTGTGCGAGGGGGGAGGGCGTGTGGTTATCAACCCCCATCCTGTCTTCCCCCTGGAACCACCCAGTTCTGCAGGGAAGGGAGAGTTTCACATCACTTCCCCTAGGAAACAACTGGTCCTAGAGCAAAGGGAAATTTGTAGTCTCCCTTCCCCCAGGAACCAACCAGTTCTGGAGGAAAGGATGAGGTGTAGCCTCCATTCCCACTGGAAACAACCGGTCCTAGAGCAAAGGGAGAGGTGTAGCCTCCCTTTTCCCTGGAACCGCAGACGCTGGAGGGAAGGGAGAGGTGTCTCCTCCCTTCTCTCTGGAACCGACTGGTTCTGGAGGGAAGGGAGAGGTGTCTCCTCCTTTCTCTCCGGAACCGATTGGTTCTGGAGGGAAGGAAGAGGTGTGGCCTCCCTCCCATCTGGAACCGACCAGTTCTAGAGGGAAAGGAGAAGTTTGCCTCCCTTCTCTCTGGGACCGACCGGTTCTAGAGGGAAGGGAGAGGTGTCTCCTCCTTTCTCTCCCAACTGGTTCTGGAGGGAAGGAAGAGGTGTGGCCTCCCTCCCATCTGAGCCATGTCCGAGGACTTCTCGGACAGGCCGTTCTGAAGTTTTGTTGGGCCTGCCAATCCAAGCAGTCAGTTACAGCAGTGTATGTTTCATTTTACAAAGCCTATTCAGAAAGCAACTGAAGTTAAATTGGTAAGCTCATCTTCAGACAGCCAACACAAAATTTTTGTGTGATGTATCTACTATTAACTCCAAGCCTTCTTCATTTGTTTCTCCCATATTTTATCTGTTGGATAAGTGTGTCAAGAATAGTTGAAGGAAGAGAAAGCTACTAGTTGATCAAAAGAGAAGCTTCCAATGCGAGAGAGATTGCCAGACAATATTGAGCAGTCACAAACAGCCAAGGAAATCCTTGCTGGTCTGCCTTGACAAGCTGATGCCCTCCTTGAATGAGTTTGGAAGCAGGGAAGAGTCTTCTGGTGGAAGTGGATAATCTGATAGGTGGTTTGACTCGTAACTTCATTTTTACATCAACAACAAAGGATTGGATCTCAACAGGTCATTGGCCTCCCGAGAAGTCACCAGTTGGTCCATCGTCTGCTTGGACAGATGGGTCCGACCTCTTACCGGCTGAACATGTCCGAGAACTGCTCGGAAAGGCCAGTTGGAGGACTTGCCAGACCTGCCGGTTCAAGCAGTTAGTTCCGGCAGTGATGAGAAACAGAACGCTTGTTGGGTAAAGTTGAGTATTGATAGAAAGAAGGGAGCCAGGGCAATCAAAGAGAAGAAACTAAAATTGGTGGTAAAGAAATCATATCTGTTGAGGATGAGATTTGGATACAGGATAGGCTGAGTACGTACAATGCCAGGTGATGAGTATAGTGTAACCAAGTGATTAGATATTTTAAGGAGCGGTGTCCAGGCCAAAGCGGTGATGTAGGTAGGTGCCATGCCAAGGGGCTGTAACAAGTCAAACATAATATCAAATACACCACCGGGCGTGGTGGATGGCATTTGGACACCCAATTGGATGTACCAGATGCCATCCGACCTTGGCCCTGCAAGGAGCATCCATTGGATGCGACTTGCATATTGCTGAACCAGGATGGTAGGGCCAAACCATCCATCGGATGGTAGGATTAGAAGCCCTTGGGGCCAAAAAATGCCAGGCCTTGGGTTTGAACCCATGACCTACAGGTGCTGCCACCAGTGACACCGGATGCAAACGGGTGACACTTGTGAATAATCGTCACCTGGTGAGTTTTGCTGCGCACGCGCGGGCTGCGGTTGGTTTTTCTGTGTGACACCTACATGTCACGCGCATTTATGGGTGACAGGTCACCTGACACATATTTTTGCACCTGTACCGCCCAGCTTTCATGTAACATCCCTCTTCAAAAGCAACAGGTCATGTGACAGGTGGTTCAAGACATCCACCAAAAGGCACTACATGTTTGGCGCTTTCTTTGCGCATCTTCCGCAGTGTTGGGACTACGAATTCGTAAGTCAACCAATCACCATCATCATCATCATCATCAAAGAAACCCAAAGTACTGATGCTCGCTGTTCTTGAACAATCCTTTGTCAAAGGACCTCGACGATCTGACGACTGAAACCAATCAGAAAACAAATGAAATCCAACCTTCTCAAGCAGAGGATATCCAAGAACCAATCAGCGATCGAGGACAAGATCCGTGTGTCGTGATCCCATTCAAGGAACTCGTACGTCCATCTTCTTGAGCAAGCTATTGAGGGGAAAAACAGGGAGGGAAAAGAACTTATGAAATTCTGATGCACCTGATTCACATCTTACTATCATCCAAGATCAGCAAGCTCATCCATCAGACCAACAACAATCAACAGAGGCTAGAAGAAGGAAAAGAGAGCCACTCTACGATGATCCTCATCGCCTCCAAATCTGTCTATTTTGGCATTGGTGGCAGCACCCATTCGTTTGTTGACTTGGTCAAGAATACCCATAGAGGAGAGCTTGGCAATACTAACTCAATTTCTCTTTGTTTATTTTGCCTCTCAATCACAGATCCGACGAACCAAAATCTCATCTTCTCTTCCAGGTGGGAAGCTAGGTCCAGACCCAGGATTATTGTAAAAGCGAGTGCCTACAAGCTGCCCAGTCGCTCCCTACCTCAATCCGCACGCATAGAATGTAAACCATCAGGACCCAGCAATTCCTGGAGAAAGAAGTTCATTACTAGATTTATGAACATGCGTCAAGTAAGTGGGTCACATGCTTGCTCGAATGAATAACTGATAATAACCATTGGCTTGTTTTTTTGGCAGAGTCTTCAAGTCCAGGAACCATGGCATTGGGATCTCACCAAGAATTTTCATTGAACGCCTCACAACAATGACGCATCTGACTGGAATATTTTCATCTCAGGAAAGAGTACAAATCTCAAAGATTATCCAGCCAGAGCTCCCATACCATTGTTCCTGAATAGAGATGGGCCCGGCGCATCCGGATATCCGTTCGGATTGGGATATCCCCTCACGTTTTCAGCCAAATCAGACATCCGCATCCCCTGGTGCTCACAGCCTGTGACCCTCCCAAAATATGGAAAAAATCTAATTCCTTTTCCCTTTTGCAATTTTTTTTTTGTTTCTTGCAGCTAACTCATGTAAATTTTTACAGGATTAAATTTCATTATTTTTTGAAAATGGATGGTTATATCAACTTTGCATACAAATAAAACTGGTATACGGTACAAATTATCATAATTTGTATAATTTAATTATGCAATAAATGGGGTACACTCATATATTAAGATTGAAGCTTTCATTTCTCATCAAAATAAATGATACCATAAGCTTTGACACTACTCAAAGTGTAGTAAATAAATTCAAAATTTCAAAAAATGATGGAAATTAAGCTGGCAAAATTAATTAAAATAAATTAAGGGAAAAATATTACAATGTCAAAAAATAATGAAAATTAATTATTAATCTGTCAAAAATTAATTGTAAAAATGTGTCTAATTGCATTATTCAAAAAGAACCATTAATTTTTATGTAAAATGCTTTTTACCATTAAATTCTACGCACTTTAAAACATAAGAAATAAAATTAAAATTTCAAAAAATAATACAAAACAAGCAGTAAAAAATTTATTAAAAAATGTGTCTGCTGCACAGTGCGCGCAGCAAAAACCATGTTTTTTTGTTAAGGCCCCATTTTTTCTTTTATTTTTCCTTTTTTACATTTTTTCTTTTGTTTCTCACAGCCTGTGGCCCTCCCAAGGCCTCCTGTATGGGCGGATATCCCTTGGGATACCCGGATATCCGCCAGGATTCCAGGGAGAAGGGGGCATCCGCACCCGAATCCGCACCCGCTGGCGGGTATCCGTTGGCACTGGCGGGTATCCGCCAGCGGATAACGGATATCTGCAACAGATTATCCGCGACCATCTCTATTCCTGAAAGCCTTGGAGCAGGTAGATTTCTTAGGGCGTTGATAAACGCACGCCAGCCCCCCTGGCGCACGCCAAACCGCACGCCAGGGTGGGGATTGGCGTGCACCCCTGGACTCAAAAGAAAATTGGCGTGCGGGCCCACAC